CCACTCCTGCTCGGCGCCTCTCATCAGGGGCAACTTCAGAGTGGAAGAGTGTCCAACCCCTCTCAAGGAAACTGGTTCCAGAGCCAGAGCCATGCGTAGAGGTGAGTCCAAATATTTCTAGCCAGAACCTCTCAACCTCACACACCAGTTCAGGCTCCTTCCCCACCAGTGAGGTGACATTCCACGTCCCAATAGTCAGCTTCTGTAGCCAAGAATCAGACCGCCAGGGTCCCCGCCCTCGGCCACGACCCATCCCACATTGCACCCAACCCCTTTGGCCCCTCCCACAGGTGGTGAGCCCATGGGAAGGGGGATCCACGTCTCCTCTTTGGGCTGTGCCCGGCCGAGCTCCATGGGTAAAAGCTCGGCCACCAGGCGCTCGCCCGCGTGCCCCACCTTACCAGGTCTGGCTCCAGAGTGGGGCTCCGGTATTGCAGGTATTATTTTCATTATTATTATGTGTTTCTTCTGCAACTAATTAATTCAAGGATTCAAGGTTCTTTATTTGTCATTCGCACCCCATGTGGTACATGTGGTGGAACGAAATTATGTATGCAGGGTCCCAGTGACATCCAACAATAAAATGTAAAAGAAAAACAGCAATAAGATCTAAGATATGAACTAAGAAAAACATCAACTAAATAATACACTAAGCATTAGTAGCATAAAAACATTACGCCGAACAGCAGAACGAACATGAGTCTGTGTGAGCAGATGACCACGCATGAACACAGCAATATGAAACAGATCAGCAGCAACATGATGTGATTTTTCACAGTGATTATTCTGGTTAGAGATTCATGAATCTAACAGCCTCAGGGTAGAAGCTGTTCCTCAGTCTAGTGGTTCTACACTTAATGTTGCTCAACCTCCTTCCTGAGGGGAGCGGGGCAAAAAGTATGTGTGCTGGGTGAGTGGGGTCCTTCATGATGCAGGTGGCCCTCTTCCTGCATCTGGAGGTGTAGATGTCTATGATGGTGAGTAGGCCGACTCCAACAGTCTTCTGTGCAGCCTTCACCACTCTCTGCAAAGCCTTTCTTTCTGCAGCTGTGCAGCCTCCATGCCACACGTTGATGCTGGAGCACAGGATGCTCTCCACTGCACACCTGTAGAAGGAGGTGAGGACTGAGCTTCCCAGTTCAGCTCGTCTCAGCCGCCTGAGAAAGTAGTCTCTGATGAGCTTTCTTGATCAGGCTGGTGGTGTTGTTGCCCCAGCTGAGGTTGTCATTCAAGTGTACATCCAAGTACTTGTAGCTGGAGACCACTTCCACCGCAGATCCTCTTATTTTCAGAGGGGTGTAGGTGTGTTTGTTCCTTCTGAAGTCCACAATCATCTCCTCTGTCTTCTTCACATTGATGTGAAGGTTGTTCTCTTTGCACCAGATCTTGAGGTGTTCTACCTCTTGCCTGTAGCTGGACTCATCAAGGTTTGTGATGCATCCCACCACCGCTGTATCATCTGTAAACTTTACAATATGACAGTATGGATGGGCAGCTGCACAATCATATTTGAGCAGAGTGAATAGGAGAGGGCTCAGCTCCCTGAGGAGAGCCTGTGCTGAGGTTTATGGTGGAGGAGGAAAAGTTGTGGATCCTCACAGTCTGTGGTCTGTTTGTTAAGAAGTCTAGGACCCAGTTGCAAATGAAGGGGCTTAGTCCTAGTGTGAATATTTTGTCCATCAAGGTTTGGGGGAATCAATAGTAAACAATGATTATCACTATAATGTTCAAAGAAAAAATTATTATCCTACAACCTTTAAAATATGTTTAAATAATTTTAAAAATATGTCCAGTTCTGTGGACATTGTGGATATATTCAGCTGAGGCTTAGAAAACACGCAGTGATTGTGAAATGTAGCTCTCAATTTCAGTGCTTGTTTTGTAAAGCTGGTATTGTGCTCATCTGCATGGCACATAATGGGAATGTTATTATGAGCTCTGGAAGCCCACTCCTTGATTTTGCACTGAGCTATATGAATGCAAAAACAGCCACAAATCAACACAAAAAAGGGGTTGCATACACAAATGATAAACGCTTTCAAGCACACCCACAGCGGCATGCCAAGGGTGCACAGTGCCCCCAAGTGGTTTGAACAAACCACTGCAGATTGGTAATTTGTGTGACAGGATGTGCATCTCATCCACTCATGCGCACAAGCAGGACATAAGACAAGTTTCAGAAATACAAATATTATTACCATTCTTTTACTCATCAATCCTCTTGTTCAGAAATAAGACAATGCTTTTTTATTCTTTGCGCTGGTATTTAGTCAAAGCTGTAAGGAATGTGCAAGGGACATTGTATTCATGGGACCCTAACATGAATTGTGGTAGCATACACTGTTGCATCTCAATTGATGCCAGTGCCACATTATATTGTACAAATTCTCAAAAACTTCAGATCAATTTGGAGAGAAACACTGCTTTGAGTCAGAATTATCATCGTGTCTCTTCAGCTCATTACAAACAACAATTTACCCATTGAACAAGGGAATGATGAGGAGAGAGGTACAAACAGATGGAGAGGAAATGGTAGTAAAAAAAAAGGGTGGGGATAGAGGGAGCTCAGTGCATCCAATTACCGTAAGTGGATTCATTTCCTCTAATCAAATAGCTCAGTTAAATATCTCACAGGCAGATTCCCCATGGAGCTGATCTTCACACATCAGCAATCAGCTTCTACATTTCCCTTTCTCCATCTTTCTGTTTTGGCCATTTTCCGTTTTACCCTATTTTCCCATCCAGCTTCCACTGACTCATCAGGCTTTCCCTAACCAATAGCTGCATCACTGCTGCCTTCTTCGCAGACCAGGGATTTGTTGATGTTGTTGCATGAAATGACTTTGCTGATCATTTCATGGGTGTTGAATTACATAGCATCACCCAAGGGTGGAAACGATGGTTGCCATAGATCCAGGAACAGCTTGTGGTCATATTCATAGGTGAATGGGATTAGCCCAGCTATGACGATACAGTATTTAGGTACTATAATGATAACTAGATTTATATATTTCCATCCAAGCCATTACATAAATTTGAGTTGCAAATTTACTTAATATCAAAGTAATGAGCTAAAATTACAAAGATAACTAGTCTTGGTTTCTCAAATTAAAATAGTCAGTCTTTCTGGGTGTCACAAATAACATGAGCTTCTTGTAATACTACTGATTCAGCCTTACTGCTAAGTATCTAATAACAATTTAAGCTTGATGAATCATGTCATCTGGACTTCGTTTTTTTGTTAAAAAGAAACGTTTCGCCCCTCATCCAAGAGGCTTCGTCAGTCTGAGGCCTAGCCATCTGGTATTACCCAGAAGCCACCCTGACTGTTGTGTTTCAAGCCTGCCTCAGATACCCCTGAAGTCTGGCCTTTTCACTAATGGTTTCAAAAACACAATATATATACCTGGATGACTGAGAAAACAAACTTTGTGAATTTAAGCTTGACTTTCTGTAAATATGTCTGCAACATTTTTGACTAAATAAACAAATGTACTTTCAAGAGGACATCAAGTTGGCAAAATACAACAGTTAAAATTGGAAATACGCTCAAACACACACCACTACTTCTTACATACTGAATGTCTGTTAATCGGATACACGACTAAAACGTGGTTGTACTAATCACAGAAAATACAGACAGTACATTGTTCCTTTCCTGCTGTAGTAGCTACTACAGGTCTGTTGTTGTAATTATACATACATCATTTCTTTTCTTGCACCTTGTGTCAACAGCGTATAATGAAAGTAGTTTTGCATCAGGTAAATCTTATTATTTAATTTCTAATCCAGCTCACTTTAAGCTCCTTTTGCATTCCTGAGATCGAATGCCTTGGTACAGGAATACAGAGAACCAAAGAAAGGCCAGTGATGTTATTAAGAAACGGTTGGTGGGCAGGTCGGGATTACCCTCAAGGAGAGAAAGCCCTTAACATCAAAACAACGATGCAAACTTGCTGCTGAAAAATTATGGCAATTTGTTTACATTCACAATTATTCTGCCCTAATGGTTTGAATTTTTTTTAAATAAATAATTTAAAAAGGCTTAATGAACACAGAAATTATGAATTTGCCATGAAGAAAAAGTTTAATATTTAAAATATAAATGGGCTCGTTACTATTTTGACTTATACAGTTTACTTGCACTATTTTGCACTATTAAGTGTTTAGAGTATTTCTTAGTTTATTTCTTTGTTTATATCTTAGATCCTTACCGTTTCTTTTACAATTTATACTTTTACTATTGTTGGATATAACTGGGACCCTGTGTACACAATTCCGCACCATCTCATGTAACACATGTGATGTGAATGACAATAAAGAACCTTAGACCTTCCACTTAGAAAAACAATGATTCTACAAGGCATGGAAATGCAAGGTTCTTTATAAATACTGTATTTATTACTTAAAAGAGCAGATTGTTGTGAATTCAGAGTATACACCATGATAGAAGAACATTTATGTTTAGATCTGAAGGGCATGGGTTATATTATACCATAATGTTGGTCCAAGGTTTGCAGTAAACAAATTCAAAGGTCTGTTAAGCTTCTTTTTATATATTGCTCTTTGTTTAATGAACAACAGAAGAAAAGAAGAAAAAAAAACAGTTTCACAATCTTTACACATTTTTCAATGTTTTGTTCTGGAACCGCTTCACTTCTTGAAACAGAACTCAGTTCACCACACTACATACTTCTTTCAATAAAAAATAAATAAATAAAATGCAAAAGCCTTCTGCAATTTTTCAAATTGTTAAACATTACTATCATCACCACACCTTTGCTTAAGGACTTACAAATCTCCTCACCTCTTTCATTTGTATTTTTTTAATCAATAAAACAAAAACATAAAATGTTTAAGTTATTGAGGTCTGTTGACAGAAGCTTTGCATGCTAAGGGTGATTACTTCCCATCTTTAGTTGATACTTAATATTTTAAAAAATGCTAGTAAAAGGGAAAAAGGCAAGTGGCTAGTCTCCCACTTACAATATTTCACAAAATCAAATTAGGTTTAATGCACTCACCATGCTGTTGAGCTCTGAGTCATCAAAGCTGTCTAATGGAGTCTCATGCCTCCCAAGGGGCTCAAGACCCTCTTCATCCCACATGTAAGTCTCACCAGAGCTGTTGGAAGGAGATATTTCAATAGAAGAGGGCTGGGGGGCATCACCCTGCAGTGGAGACAACTCCAATGATCCTTTGGAGTCCTGCATAGGGATTTCTTCTTTATGTTCTACATAGGGTACATCAGCATTCATTTAAACAGATGTAACAAAAGTATGGCATCAATATACTGTAACATCTTTTTTTTTTTCTAATTCAGATGTTTCTTTTTTACCTGTCATTTGTTTAGACTCCCAGTCACCAGTCTCATTGTACAAGCTGTATTCTATGCGTTTAGTAGTACTGTCAGTTTTCTGGTTATTGGGCAAGTCCCCATCACTGCACACATCTTCCACAGAGTCAAAGTCATCAAAAAATTCTTCAGTGGTGTCACCTCGGTCTATTGATGAGGCAGAAGATAAGGACATGTCTTCCAAAGTCTCTTCTGTCCCCTGACTAGAGCTCTGCCTGAGCACACAATCTTCTCTTCCACTGGCAATTTCAATTCCAGAACTTAAATCACTTTCAGTGGGAGAGTCTAATTTTCCAACATTTTCATTTGGCTCACTGTTTTTTACCACCCCAAAAAGCCCTTCACATTCAGAGGAGCCTAAAAACCTGATACTTTCTTTGACCCTATCTGGAACAATAGACATTTGATGTTTGGTCTGTCTGATTTGAGTCAGTCTGGAACCCAAAGATCCCATGTTGCTAGCCAACGGTTTAGTTAATACTGGATTGGAGAGCAATGGCTTCTTCAAAGCTTGAGGCGTATTTGGTGCTGGAGAGATTGCAGAGTTGGGGAGAGAGCAGGACGAACCTCTGCTAAATGGAAGACCTCCAATTCCTCCACCTTGACAACCTGAACCTCCAAGGCAGCCATTTATTCCTAAACCCACTCTTCCATTGCTTACCTGGGGAGGTTTAAGAAAACTACTGCGAGGAGGTCGGAGCTGAGTATTGGCCAGAGGCTTAGCTAGCTCCACAGCTCGATTAAAGGAGAAGGACCGTGTCATGGACTCATTAGTGGGTGAGGGAATCTGCTTGAAATGAGTGAAGCTGTTTGAACGCACTATATTGTCCACTGTCAAGATTTTCTCATTAGACTGAGGCATACCATCTTGGGAGGAACTTCTGACAGAGCTAGTGCCTAACATTGGTCGGACTGGGCGCAAGTCTGACCCTATTCGAGCAGGAATGCTGGAGTCATTATTGGGAATTTTAGAAACCCCATTTAGTGAACTTTGACCTATTTTGATTCCTCCTTTGGGACTCATCTTTAACGGTTTCTTAGGAATAGATTTGGGGCTGGAGACAGCCATCATTAAAGAACCTGACTTGCGCAACTTGGGCGTTACTGGAGAGCTATTCTTTACCTCCTTATCCAATAAAGGGAACTGACATTGAATACTTTCTTCACTGCTTTTTCCAGGATTTGTTCCTGTGACAGGGTTAGAAGAGTTCATTCCTTCATTCCTCTTCCATTTCAAGGAAAAGGGGGAGGAGCTGATCACACAAATTGCACGTGGTCCTGCAGTTGGGGTCTTTCCATCCTGAATAGGTGCATTTGGAGGTGTGGAACCATTGCAGAGAGTGCTTGTACCACTTCCTGATGGACGTCCACCAAATTTAGGTAATCTGGATACCATGGCAGGCCCAGTGGATGTTTTTACTTCCATTGGATGAAGAGAAAATCATGGAGGAGTTGGGAACTATGAACAGCTGTGGAGAAAATAGACAGAAAAAACAAATGAAGACATGGTTGGTTTTTCAATGTTTTGTAAGTAAGACTTGTACACAGAAAAGCAGTTACTTTAAGTCTTAACTTTTTACATTACTACAGTGTTCTCTCGTTTATCGCAGGCGATCCATACCCTGAAGACACGAATTAAGTGAAAAACCAACAAGTAGGAATAGTAGCACAAGAAGTAAGCAGTAGTTTATTTTTATTATATATATATATATATATATATATATATATATATATATATATATAT